AACATTTAAATTGCACTGCTTTGCACAGCAAAAGACAATGTAAACTTGGCATTTCATTTACGTCTAAAAACACAGTGGTTAGATTTTTATCCTACAAGAGGAAATGAATGGGTTTTGCCACTTTAGAAAAGTCTTTCCTTCCCTCAGATGCAGAATAAGTTTGGTATGATGTTTATATACCTAAGGTTAGCGTCTGAAACATGTCTCAAGGTGCAAAACTCCAGTCTGTAGTTCAGCACTAAACAACAACCTAGGTTGATCTCTTTCAATATTACAGCATGAGCACATCAATCAGAAAGTCATGGCAACTCCTAAAGAAAACAAGGTTTCTTCTTTCTTCAAGCAACACTTGTTGCTGTTTTCATTGCACTGATTTCAAAATAACAGAAATGAACTAATGTAATAGAAGACTATAGAGCCCTTGTTATGTTCTTCTAAGAGATGGTTAGCCAGAATTCAACTAAATATTAATACTGAAATATTAAGTTGACTGAAAGATGTAAAATTTTCTACCTAAATTAGCAGAAGATACTGGCAAATCTAAATCTAAATCACTGGGCTGAGTTAGGCTTTGCTAGTCTGTATCACAAATAACCTCACATGGAAGATTCTAGAATTTATAATTATGGTCCAATATGTAATTGTTTTCCATGTGCTTCCCAAATGACATTCCAGTCTTAAGTGCTTGGGGAAAAAAAAAAAAAAAAGCCCACTACATCCTGCTTTTTAGGGATCCTGAGTTCATCTTACATTTGATATTTCCTACAAATGTGAATAGCTCTGTACATGAGAACAGACCTTCAAGAGATAATTTTCTTAAATTACTATCATTATAACACTTGCAAAAGTTTTTCTTCTTCATGAGAGCACATCAGGTTTAGCCTCTGGGCCAGAGACCATACCTCAGGCTAGATCTCATCTAACATCTGGTATTAGAGCTATATGGGGCACTGTCCTTCAGAAAGCAATAATACACTTTCTGCATGGCCTTCTTCTGTTGCCTTTTCCTAGTCATCCCTCCACTTGATGTAGATTTGTTAAAATGGCTATCATTTTAGGGGTTAAAATTGCCTATTAAGCAAGCTAACATTTCTCTTCCTATGGCTGAGGAATCAAAACTACCAATGCATATGCTATTACAATATAGGAAGTCTTGATCATCTACATAAACAATGTACTAAAACAAGGATTTAATTCAAGAGGCTGCAATAAAAAAAAAAATACATTGTAAACTTTTTTTCACTTCTAGGAAAAGCAGTACAAGGTACTTGCTGCTGTTGCTGCCAGCATGAGAAACCAACGCAACTGAATAAAGCACTTCCTGCTTAATAATAGTATGAAAGAAATGCCAATGCAATATATCGCATCACCGACAGGTCAAGCAGCAGAAATGGAACTGAAGATATCAAAGCAATCAAAGGCCCCTCAGCACCATGTGTTTCCTACCTACTCAGAGCATTAAAAACCACCACGACCACCTCATCCAATAACTGCCTTTCATACGTACCTATTAAACCTTAACGCGTTTTTAGTAAGAGATAAAGAGAAAAAAAATCGGCTTGAGAAGTGAAGACGGGTTTTGTCAACACGTCGCCTCTAAAATAAATCATGAATTTAAATGCGGGGGTGGGGAAGTAAGGGAGTCAATGTAAGCTACTACCCTGACGCCCGATGCCAAAGCACAGTATCTGGAAAATCCCTACCGAGCTCGCTGCTTTACAAACAGCTCATCAGCCCGCAGGACACCTGAGAGGAAGCGGTGATGCAAACGGGAAGAAGGCGCCGCGGAGACTGGGGAGACACCGCGCAGGGGGCACTGCCGAAGGTGACAGCCCGAGAGCCGTGACTCCTGGCCCCAAGCCCCTGCCCCCTCCTGGGGCGAGGAGGACAGGAAGGCACCTGGCCATGCACGCAGCGTGCCTGCCCCGCTGCCGGGGAGGGTTTCCCCCTCCCTCCCAGCCGCCACCGAGGCTCTCCAACGTCTCCCTGAGGGTACACGGGGGAAGGGAGCGAGAGGGGAGCAGCGCTAGGCCCAGCACCCACGGGTTGGGCCCGATCTGGCCTCCACCCACAGGGCTACGTCGTGTCTCTCTTACCTGGGGGCTGTCTTCCAGCGTCTCCTCGATGGGGAGCTTGTCGATGCCAGGCATGGCGGCCGCCGAGGCTGACACTGCGCCGCTGCAGCTCCTGCACCCCACAGCACGCCCAGCTGACTATACCCCTCCCCTTCTTCCCAGTCACAACACAGGCGCCCCCGCCCCGCATCACGCCGGATATCCCGCCCTCTCCCCCGACCCTGCTGACTGCTTAGCCTTCTATTGGTTCTTCCACCCAGCCTGCCCAGCTTATTATTGGTGGACGGGTCCATCTATCCCCGTTCATGCACGCGCGGGGCTATTGGGCACTGAGAGGTGCGTGGTGTCTTTGCGTGGCGTGCGGCGCTGCTCCCGCCTTTCGCCTTGGCGGCTGGCCAGGGGGGCGGGCTGCGGCTCCCGGCTGCCCAGGGGGTCGGGCTGCGGCTCGCGGTCTCTATGTCGCTGCCGTACGCTGTCCCTCAGACGAGGAAGAACAGTGTGTCCCTCCGAGCCAGCCGCGCCCTCCTTCTCCCCGTCAGTAAAGGGAGGGGCGTTTTGGCGGTCAGCTCGCCTCCCGCTTTTCGGGAGAACGCTCTGTCGCGCTGCGTCGGTCCGCCCCCAGTTGGGGGGGGTGAGTGGGGAGCGGAGACAGAAAGGGACGTTTCAACGCTGAGGTGTCTGTCCAGCGGTGCCGCGAACAGATCATGGTTGTCGAGCGAAGTTGCTGGGAAAAAGCAAGGAAACTTTTTTTTTTTGCGTTTGCAGTTACATGCTCTGTGTTACAAATCAATATGACTTACTAGCCCTGTTTCTCTTTGTTCTGGATGCTACTGCCTTCTCAGAACAGATGGACAATTAGCCTGGGGGCAGAACCACAGTGGGACTAATGCTCTCGTGTCCCTGTCGTGATGGAAGCAGCTTTTGCACTCTCTTGATGTTACCTGGATCATTCCTTTTGAGAAGGCTCCTTTTATCCGTGTCATGTCTTTCTCCACCATCCACCAGGGCTTTGATCAAGAAAGTATTTCTATCTTTAACTACCTACCATGTTACCAAGTGATAGCTCCAGCTGAGGACCTGGTGTTCCTGCTTGTGTCTTAAAAAAACCCAAAAACATTGCTGATGACAATGTTTCCCCTTCAGAAGCAAGAGTATGATTAGTTCTAATGGACTCCCTACTTTCTTAAACTGGATAAGCTTGGTGCTGTAGGTTGGTGGCCAATTTTAAATGCTTAAAACTATTGTGAGGTCATGCACTGTTTAAAAAAGAACGTATTCTTGAGTTGCCCTCTGTATGTTTTGACCAAAGTTACTGTACTTCAAAGTACTCCTGCAGGTTAAGCAATTCATATTTTAAGAGTAGGTCTCTTAGGAGGCATTGAGTATATACAAACTGCTAATAAAGAATATCTGTCTAAATTTCCATTCATTTAAAAACAAATGTACTGTGTGTGAAGAGGCTGCATAAAATTCTCACTCTTAAAACTAACAAAAGTAAAACCAAATTGTACATCATATTTGAATTTGCAAACTGGTTCAACTCTGAAATTACTTGATGATATTTCTTTTCTGAATTTTAATAGATGATCGGTAACTTTTTAGCTAAATTTATTATAAAAAAAAAAAAAAAAAAAAAAGGCTGTTCCCTTGCTGGTTTGCCTTTTTGGGGCCAGGTGAACTTAGTATAAAACCTCATTAGAAAATACATGAAGTCATCCAGGAGAGCAAATGATTAACTATTGTGCAGTCTTGCTGTGGAGACCTTTCTTTATGTTGAATCAGATCATGTTTTACCTTTAAAAGCAGATAAGGGAAAAGGCTGGTATTAAATTACAAACACAAAAAGATTTTTGAGGTGGGGGCCTTTTTGTTTGTTTTAGGTTGTTTTTTTTTTTTAGTGGTGAGGAAATTTCAAAGTTAAAACTCAGTTCGGTGAGTTAATTTACGAGCTC